ATGTCCTTGAAAGGGAGTCTCTCTTTCTTTCTCAGCTTTCTCAGCTTCGTCTAAGATACTTTCAAGCCTCTAGTTGGCAGTGTTACAAAGTTTCTTTACTCTCACTTTCCCCCTCCTTTCCCAGGAAAAACATAATAGAAGTTAAAAAGAAAAAGTATATATATATAAAAAAGTAACTAAAGGGAGCCTCTAACCTAAAATGTTGCAAAGTCAAAAAAGAGAAGAAAAAATAGATGTAAATAAGAAAGAAGCCAGTCCAGTTAGCAAATGTTAAATCGCGATAGAAGTCCAGTAATAAGAAAAAATAAATAAAAAGCCAAGCCTTACTTTGACGTTTCTGTTTAAAAAACGCCGCTTATTCCATTGTCAAAACTTTTACAGATTTTTCCTTTTCCTTAGGGTGTCCCTTTAAGTCTTAGAGTAATGATAAAAAAAAGTTCTCACCAAACCGACACACTTTCTCTTTCCAGTCTCTTCCAATCGGAGCTGTCCCAACTTCAGCAGCTTTGATGGCTGCCTCTCTGCCACCAGCAAGGGCTTCTCCTGGATCAACCAGGGACTTTGCAGTGTCCCTGGGATTGGCAGGATGCGCTCTTCACTTTCACTGTCTCTTCGGGACGGTTTAGGTCAGTTGGGACCGTCCAGAGGCAAAGATATCGGCTGCAATCTCAGACCTCCGAGACTGCATGCAGTATCGTTGTGACGTCAGCTCCGCCCCCTCTCCCCATACTCAAGATCTTTTTGAAAGATAGTAGTATTGTCTGTGGTATTGGACAGCTTTACATCATCAGTGAAGAGAACACAGTTGCTCTTAATGTGATCACAGAGGTCATTTATGTAGAGTATGAAAAGAGTTGGTCCTAAAACACTGCCTTGGGGGACACCACTATTGACAGGTACAGAACTTGATAGGACACTCCCAATTTTGACCATTTGTTGTCTGTTTGACAGGAATGCTTCTATCCAGTAATGCAGTTGTCCAGAGATACCATAAGATTTTAGTTTTAGGAATAGTTTTGCCCTGATCGAGTTGTGTAGTCCATATTTTTGCAGTGTAAGAGTTGCAGATTACAGGATAGTTTTTTTCTGAAACCAAATTGTTTATTAGAGAGTAGGTTGTTTATCTCTAAGTGGAGGATAATAGATTGGTTAATAATTGATTCCATGACTTTACAGGTGACGCAGCATAAGGAGATTGTTCTGTAATTTTCAACTAGGCTGGGGTCTCCCTTTTTGAAGATGGGGATGACCGTGGTTTGTGACCATAGGTTAGGCAAGGAGCTGGTCCTGAAAGATTTTTCAAAGAATATGCTTAGAGGTTATGCTATGGCAGTGGATAGCTTTTTTGAGAAGTAGGCGCATATTCCCTCCGGTCCAACAGATAGAGTTGGTTTTAGATTGCGTAGTGCTTTTTCAACGTCTTCTGTAAAATTGATATGTATTAATCATTGTAGTTTTCTGTGGTTCGACTAGGAAATACTGGGCATGATCCATTGCTGTTTACAAATACTGAGCCAAAGAATGTGTTAAAGATGTTGGCTTTAATGGTGTCGCTGTTGCAGTCTTTACCATTAGGTCCTATCAGGGGTGGGATGGACCTTGAGTCTTTTAGTTTGTTGTTTACAAAATTGTAAAAAGCGCGGGTGGAATTGATGTGTAGAAGGTTTTTCTCTTGTTTAATGTGATAATTGGTGCATTCAGTCTTTATCTGGTGGCTGTTTTATCTGGTGCTTTATCTGGTGGATGTCTCCTGCTTCCTTGCTTAAAGACGGAGTCAATCAAAGTTTAGTCCAGCCCCCTTTCCACTGTGCATGCCCAGTTTTTGATGAAGGCTGATGATTGACTTGGAAAGTTCTTTGGTGCTCGTTCTTGACTGTTCTCAGCTTGGGACTAATTATCTAAGGGTGGGATTTGGATTCTCCTCCCGTACAACTAGAAGATGTGTTTCAGGTAAGCCCAACGTTCTTTCTCAGTTGTACGGGTCGGAGAATCCAAAACGTGGGACGTACCCAAGCTAATTGTCTTGAGGGTGGGCCAACTCCTTGTCCTGAGCCCCCATCTCCATGTGAACTCTTTGTAGCACTCTTCTTCCAAAGGATGCTTCCACTGATGCAAATGTATCCAGTTTATAATTTCTGATGAATGGAGATGGTGATGACCACATTGCTGCCCTACAGATCTCTTCAATCGAGGCCTGTGTCTTCCATGCCGCTGATGTGGCTGCACTCCTGGTTGAATGTGCTGTTATGTTACCCAGCAATTGTAATGATTGGCTTTCATAAGCTTTCGTGATACATGTCTTGATCCATTTGCCTATGGTAGATGGTGAAACCCTTTGTCCCAACAAACTCGGTCTAAATGAAATGAACAATGCTTCTGTTTTTTGTTTGTTTGTTTATTAAATATGTACAAGATAACAAGTATAGGTATGAAGATAAACATGAACAAAGGAAGTAAATACAGATAAATGGGGACGGTAGGATAGGGATGGTAGGCACGCAGCTGTGCTTATGCATGCCCCCTTTAAGAACCTCTTAGGAATGTGGGATGTCCATGGTGGACAGTTTGAGGTTGAAGCTAGGAGGGTTTGAGGCTGTAACAACGGAGTCAGGTAGAGCATTACATTATGTACATTGTATACATTAGAATAGACATCTCAACATGGTCTCTCTTGGTAGCTGAGGAGAGAAAAGGGATTCTGTAAGAAGAAGTTGGATCGTTAACATTTACATGAAAGATTTAAAGAGTAAAGCAGACTACCTTCACAATGGGGAGGTGCAGGTTTAAATGAGGAGGTGTTGAGCAGTCCAGTGAGAGAAGACTAACTAAGCAGTATGTGATCACAACTAAAAGTTGAAGAGGATTCTTGATGGTCCATTGATGCTGAATGCTAGGCTTCCTCCTTTGGATTGGATGGATGAGATGGGAGCCACAGGTGGTTTAGGATAACTCACCACAGTCAACTCACCACAGGACAAGTCAATGCTGTATTAATCATTTCATTCAGTTACTTTTATTATTGGTGACTACACATTTTTCAAAATTATTGTAATTCTTGTATTACTGGATTGACTTTCTTTATTTTATTATTATTGCCATGGTTCCATTGAAATTAATTTAACTTTTGTATTTGTTGAATTGTCCTGCAGAGTTGTTTGCAGTGAGTTAGCTGCAGCAACTTGGCCATGGCGAGTTGTGCCATTCCAAGCCATAGCTGGAAGATAGACTGTAAGGACAGGGGAGGAGGAGGGGAGGGCTCTGAAGGAATGGAAGCAGGCAGTCAAATTCTGGCAATATCCACCAAGAGTCACTTTGTTGAGTTGGGTGGCTATCGAAATTGACTGGCCGGATGGCTGAATAAGATTCCTTATTTCTGAGGAGGATAGATTTCCTGACGGAGTAAGTTCCCACTCAAGAACAGATGTGTTAGTGTTTGGGGATAAACCCCCAAGCAGAGTATGCAGCAGCAGT